ATATTACCTATAATAAAACAAACAATAAAGGGAAACGTCAACACGAAAAACAAACAAGCAAACAAACAAATAAAAAAACTCTTGGTAAAAAACAAGAGAAAAAATATAAATAATTTTAACCCACGAAAAAATTTACAAATAAAAATAAGAAAATATGAGGACTTGAAGGATACTGTTAACAGGAGCCTGAAGGATGCTGTTAACAGGAGCCTGAAGGATGCTGTTAACAGGAGCCTGAAGGATGCTGTTAACAGGAGCCTGAAGGATACTGTTAACAGGAGCCTGAAGGATGCTGTTAACAGGAGCCTGAAGGATACTGTTAACAGGAGCCTGAAGGATGCTGTTAACAGGAGCCTGAAGGATGCTGTTAACAGGAGCCTGAAGGATACTGTTAACAGGAGCCTGAAGGATGCTGTTAACAGGAGCCTGAAGGATACTGTTAACAGGAGCCTGAATGATACTGTTAACAGGAGCCTGAAGGATACTGTTAACAGGAGCCTGAAGGATACTGTTAACAGGAGCCTGAAGGATACTGTTAACAGGAGCCTGAAGGATACTGTTAACAGGAGCCTGAAGGTTAACAGGAGCCTGAAGGATACTGTTAACAGGAGCCTGAAGGATGCTGTTAACAGGAGCCTGAAGGATACTGTTAACAGGAGCCTGAAGGATACTGTTAACAGGAGCCTGAAGGATACTGTTAACAGGAGCCTGAAGGATGCTGTTAACAGGAGCCTGAAGGATACTGTTAACAGGAGCCTGAAGGATACTGTTAACAGGAGCCTGAAGGATGCTGTTAACAGGAGCCTGAAGGATGCTGTTAACAGGAGCCTGAAGGATGCTGTTAACAGGAGCCTGAAGGATGCTGTTAACAGGAGCCTGAAGGATACTGTTAACAGGAGCCTGAAGGATACGGTTAATAGGAGCCTGAAGGATACTGTTAACAGGAGCCTGAAGGATGCTGTTAACAGGAGCCTGAAGGATACTGTTAACAGGAGCCTGAAGGATACTGTTAACAGGAGCCTGAAGGATGCTGTTAACAGGAGCCTGAAGGATACTGTTAACAGGAGCCTGAAGGATACTGTTAACAGGAGCCTGAAGGATGCTGTTAACAGGAGCCTGAAGGATGCTGTTAACAGGAGCCTGAAGGATACTGTACAGGGCCTGAAGGATGCTGTTAACAGGGGCCTGAAGGATACTGTACAGGGAGCCTGAAGGATACTGTTAACAGGGCCTGGAGGATACTGTTAACAGGGCCGGGATCTGTTAACAGGGCCTGAGGATCCTGTTAACAGGAGCCTGAAGGATGCTGTTAACAGGGCCTGAAGGATGCTGTTAACAGGAGCTGAAGGATGCGTAACAGGGCCTGAAGGATACTGTTAACGGGAGCCTGAAGGATACTGTTACAGGAGCCTGAAGGATGCTGTTAACAGGAGCCTGAAGGATACTGTTACAGGAGCCTGGGATACTGTTAACAGGAGCCTGAAGGATACTGTTACCAGGAGCCTGAAGGATACTGTTAACAGGGCCTGGGATACTGTTAACAGGAGCCTGAAGGATACTGTTAACAGGGCCTGAAGGATACTGTTACCAGGAGCCTGAAGGATACTGTTAACAGGCGAGGGCCTGAAGGATACTGTTAACAGGAGCCGGAAGGATACTGATGGCTGAGATGCTGTTAACAGGAGCCTGAAGGATGCTGTTAACAGGAGCCTGAAGGATACTGTTAACAGGGCCTGAAGGATGCTAACAGGAGCCTGAAGGATGCTGTTAACAGGAGCCTGAAGGATACTGTTAACAGGAGCCTGAAGGATACTGTTAACAGGAGCCTGAAGGATACTGTTAACAGGAGCCTGAAGGATGCTGTTAACAGGAGCCTGAAGGATACTGTTAACAGGAGCCTGAAGGATACTGTTAACAGGAACCTGAATGATACTGTTAACAGGAAGGACTCTAGGATAACCACCACTAACTAGAAGGATATCAAAGGATCGTAAGGATAATCAAGTAGGATATTTATGGAAGTCCTTTAGTGGCAAACTCATCAGAAAGTGGTAATGCCTCGTGGAGAGAATGACGAGAAGGAAACAGTAAAGGGGAAGAAAGGGAGGAGAAAGAAGGAAGAGGAAGAGGAGGATGAGGAGGATACCTGAGGGAGGGAAGGAAGAAGAGGGGGTGAATAAAAGAGGAGAAGGAAGAAGAAGCAATAGAAAGGTAAAGAAAAAAGGAAGAGGAGAAGGAGGAATGGGGGGAGGAAGACAGAAGAGGAGGGTAAACAAAGAAAGGGAGGAAGAGGAGGAGAAGAGGGAGGAAGAGGAGGGAGGAAGAGGAAGGGAAGAGGAGGAGAAAGAAGAGGAGGTAGAGACTCACCCACAACAATAAGGTATATGCCAATATAGGTGTGTTGGTTGGGTGACACCGGCTCCCACAGTCTGGGTTCGTGTCCCGAGGCGTTAAGCAGCGCCATCTGTTGCTCCGGGGAGAACACGTCCTCACCCATCTCCTGAAACAACAAGAGATTCCAGGATTAACTTCAGCTAGGGGATTAACTTCAGCTGGGGATTAACTTCAGCTAGAGGATTAACTTCAGCTGGAGGATTAACTTCAGCTAGGGGATTAACTTCAGCTAGAGTTAACTTCAGCAGAGGATTAACTTCAGCTAGGGGATTAACTTCAGCTGGAGGATTAACTTCAGCAAGAGGATTAACTTCAGCTAGAGGATTAACTTCAAGTCGAGAATTAACTTCATGCATATAAAAGGTTCTAAAAGGCAAGAGGTTCGAGGATTAACTTCTAGAGGATTAACTTCAGCTAGAGGATTAACTTCAGCTAGAGGATTAACTTCAAGTCGAGAATTAACTTCATGCACTCATAAAGGTTCTAAAAAGGACAAGAGGTTCGAGGATTAACTTCAGCTCTAGGATTAACTAGAGGATTAACTTCAGCTCGAGGATTAACTTCAGGCACCCATAAATGTAGTGTGTATGAGGAACAGACGACCTCACCTCTGGTACTAATATAAACTATAGAAATTGGATCATAAGTCACTGATATAAATCTGGTGAATGTGTATTGATGTTATGGACATACACACTCATATATATACGCAGTCATATATACACTCATATATATACGCAGTCCTATATACACACTCATATACACACTCATATATATACGCAGTCATATATACACACTCATATATATACGCAGTCATATATACACACTCATATAAACACACTCATATATACTACAGGGTGTCCCAGAAACATGTCCCTCCCTCACTGCCTGCTCCCTGCCTCCCTGCACCCTGCCTCCCTCTCTCCCTGCTCCCTGTTTCCCTACCTCTCTGCCTACTCCCTGATACAGTGTGAGTTGGAGGGAGGCAGGGAGCAGGCAGAGAGGGGGGGAGCAGGCAGCAGGCAGAGAGGAGGGGAGCAGGCAGCAGGCAGAGAGGAGGAGGCAGGCAGCAGACAGAGAGACAGGGACATTTTTCTGTGACACCCTGTATATGCATTCAGATGGGTCTATATGGCTTTAAAATAGTTTAGAATATATCTGGCCCGGTGGAGAGGGAAGGAGAGGGGTGAGAGGGCGGAGGTGAGAGGAGGAGAGGGCAGGTGAGAGGGGTGAGGTGAGGTGGTGCTAGATTTATGGTGATGATATGAGGGTTAATGTTTAAGTAGTGGTGGGATGGTTATCCTCTTTATGTCTGTCTGTCTGTCCGTCTGTCTGTTCTGTCTGTCTGTCTGTCTGTCTGTCTCTCTCTCTCTCTCTCTCTCTCTCTCTCTCTCTCTCTCTCTCTCTCTCTCTCTCTCTCTCTCTCTCTCTCAGGTTTAAACAAAAGGCGTTAATATCTGTGTGAGAAAAAAATACAATTAAAAAGAGTTCTATGTAAGTGACGTAAGCTGATGGATGCCTAACAACAACAACAACAACAACAACAACAACACGACCACCACCACCACCACTACCACCACCACCACCACCACCACCACCACCACCACCCTCCCCAAAATGAAAAAAAAATAAGTGAATGAAATTCTTATTCATCCTGGCTACAAATTTATGCAAAACGGCCTTATTAACTTATTCATATTTCACAAGGATGACTATAATGGCCACCAGGCTAATTGTTCCACTAGAACAAGAATTAAATTAACAAAGGGAGGTAGGTTAGGGTAGGTTAAGTTTGGAATTAGGTTAGGTTAGGGTAGGTTAGGTTATATAAGTTGACGTTAACATTTACTCCAAGTCAAGGGGAGGGGGAGAGACATTTACCACCCCCAAAAAATAATAAAAAAAAAAATAAACAAATTCTCGAGAAAATCTTATAAAACCTAAAAATAAACAAAATCGTACATTTAGTTTTCATTACTGTTCCCTCAGGGTGAATAACAGCCTCTTACACCCACCTTCTCTTTCTTATTCATTGGTTTAATTCTAGACAGTTTGGGCGAGGTGGGTGTGTGGGGACCTCTTGGAGAACTCATTAGGTCAGGTTAGGTCAGGTCAGGTTAGGTCAGGTTAGGTTAGGTTAGGTCAGGTTAGGTTAGGTCAGGTTAGGTTAGGTTAGGTTAGGTTAGATTAGGTTAGGTTAGCACGACCTCACATATCTGCGCTTATCAACACACCTCCTGAACATCCACAACACTCCCCAGACATCACAACCTCCCAGACATCACAACCTCCCCAGACATCACAACACTCCCAGACATCACAACACTCCCCAGACATCACAACCTCCCCAGACATCACAACACTCCCCAGACATCACAACACTCCCCAGACATCACAACAATCCCCAGACATCACACTCCCCAGACATCACAACACCCCAGACGTCACAACCTCCCCAGACATCTAACACTCCCCCAGACATCACAACACTCCCCAGACGTCACTAACTCCCCCAGACGTCACAACCTCAGACGTCCAACCTCCAGACATCACAACCTCCCCAGACGTCACAACACTCCCCAGACGTCAACCTCCCAGACGTCACCACACTGCCCAGACATCACAACCTCTCCAGACATCACAACACTCCCCAGACATCACAACACTCCCCAGACGTCACAACCTCCCCAGACGTCCAACACTCCCCAGACATCCAACTCCCCAGACATCACAACACTCCCAGACATCCACAACCTCCCAGACGTCACAACCTCCCAGACATCACAACCTCCCCAGACATCACAACTCCCCAGACGTCACAACACTCCCCAGACGTCACAACACTGCCCAGACGTCAGCACACTCCCCAGACATCACAACCTCCCCAGACATCACAACACTCCCCAGACATCAACACTCCCAGACATCACAACCTCCCCAGACGTCACAACTCTGACATCACAACACTCCCCAGACATCACAACCTCCCCAGACGTCAACAATCCCCAGACATCACAACACCCCCGAACATCACAACACCCCAGACGTCACAACACTCCCCAGACATACAACACTCCCCAGACATCACAACCTCCCAGACGTCACAACCTCCCCAGACGTCACAACACTCAGACGTCACAACACTCCCCAGACATCACAACCTCCCCAGACGTCCAACACTCCCAGACGTCACAACACTCCCCAGACGTCACAACCTCCCCAGACGTCACAACACTGCCCAGACATCCACACTCTCCAGACATCCAAACCTCCCCAGACGTCCCAACCTCCCCAGACGTCACAACACTCCCCAGACATCCAAAACTCCCCAGACATCTACATCCCCAGACGTACACTCCCCAGACATCCCACACTCCCCCAGACATCCAACACTCCCCAGACGTCACAACACTCCCCAGACGTCACAACACTGCCAGACGTCCTACCTCCCAGACATCACAACACTCCCCAGACGTCACTCCCCAGACGTCACACCTCCCCAGACGTCACAACACTCCCCAGACATCACAACACTCTCCAGATGTATGTCTTTATGGCTACAACAACAACAACCATTCAAGTTAGTCTCAGAGGAGTGAGGCCATCACCTGTAGTGTGGTCATCAGGGGAGGGGGAGAGGGTGGTGAGGCAGTGAGGGTGTGGTCATGATGAGGTGGTGGTGAGGGAGGAGAAAAATAGGGTAGGAGGTGGAGGATGGGGAGGAAGAAGCGGAAGAGGAAGAGGGAAGGAGGCGTGGAAGAGGGAGGTGGTGGTAGGGATGAAGGAAGGAGGCGTGGAAGAGGAAGAAGTGGAAGGAAGAGGAAGAGGTGGTGGGCAAGAGGTGATCAGCCGTAGTTCGTGAGTAATCTGGGTCTTGTCGGCTCTACCACCAAGTGACTTGAGTTAGAGTGTGTGTGTGTGTGTGTGTGTGTGTGTGTGTGTGTGTGTGTGTGTTTGTTTGTTTAGGGTTTTAAAACTATGGAACAACTTTTATAATAAATACTTTGCTCAGGAAATAAATACTTTATTGTAAATGTAATATTTTTCATACTTTTAATCGTTTTGAAAGTCGTTCGTGGTTTTAAAAGTATTAATTAATTTTTGTATTATATAATTGGGTCTTGTGATTTGTGATATGTAGTATTATTTTTTCTTGTGACGAGTTACTTTTTAATAGATTCTTTTAATATTTTGTTTCTATATATATATATATATATATATATATTTCATAATAATCCTAGATAATATGGATAAGATAAATCTTGATAAAATCACACGGGAAAATGGAAACAGCGGAGTACCTTAGCTTTTATACGTAACGATACACAATGATGTTGGTACAATATTTTTTCCTGATAAAAGTAAAGAATATTTTATAAGACTCTACCTCGGCACTCAGGTAAAAAAGGTATATTTTTCTGAACATATTGACGAGTATTTTTATTTCTGAAAGTATTAACAGTTTTTTAATATAAATTTGTTGGAATAGCAAAACACACCGTAAAGGAGATATTGCATTTTGTTAATATTTTACCATAACTTGTACTAGGTGAGGGTAATATATATGCTGATAACCACAAGGAAAGAAGAAAACACGAAGTTCCCAAGCGCTTTCGTGTAATTCACATCTTCAGGGGTGAGTACAGACTAGAGAGAGAAATACAAATCAAGGTGTATATATACAGAGGAGGGTGAGACCAGGTCCACAATGGTCAGGTATTAGGTAATGACCCTACTAATCTTTAAATAGCACACAACGGTTGGTGGTCAGGTCAGATGGTCAGGTACCCGGCCTTTCCTGGTACAATCTTCTTAATTACAAAATTGTCCAGCTACAAGCCGTTACTCAAATTCATGTTGAATGCTTCGGTATGTTTAATAAGACTAGATTCTATGATGTTCCTACTATCAATTGAATTACAAGGTAATATTGAGGAGGCATTATCGTCAATGCAATGCTTGTTATCCTCAAATGAACAAACAGAGCATTGGTTCACAACCTGTCCTAACACTGTATTTGTGTTGTTTAATTTTTTAGCAAGATCTTTACCTGTCTGGAGAAGTGGTGGGGGGGGGGAGGGTGCTTGTTGGAGGAAGTGGTGGGGT